AGAGGTTGCACAGCCTCAGCCCGAGGTGCTGTGTCACGCTCCAGCACCTGTCACTCCTCCTGTGCACTGGAGGCAAATGTGAGGTGACCCCTGGAGCTGAAGTGAGAAGTAAGAGCCACCAGCGGGGGCTGCTGTGAGGGCAGATGTCAGGAAGCCTGGCAAGGGTGCTTCACCGGGCAGGGTGAAGCACATGCCCTGGGTCAAAGAGCACGGTTTCAACCCCTGGATCTGCTCTCAAGGAGCAGGTGGTCTTGGGCTGAGCACTTCACTCTGATGGCTGGACGACTCGTACCTAAAGCCTGGTCTGCCTGCCCCCCTGCGCTGGAATTGCAATACATTCACTGCAACGAAGACCCCGACTAAGATGCCGCATGGTTTTATTTACCACTAAGAAAAACAAATGCTGTCAATTAAACTATATCACGTCATTATTGTAAGACACAGGCTGATTTTAGAGATGCTCCAGCAAGAGAAATATGCATTTTAGAAGCAATGTGATGTGGTAGATGAAAGCACCGTGAATGGAAGACAAAATCTGATTAGCCATTCCTGTGGGACAGAACCGCAACCCTCTGCGTGGATCTCAAGAGTACCAAGCTCTTTCCTTGGAGAGAAATGCGTAAGTGAGGAAGAACAGGGGCCAAGTCCTACTGGTTCCAATGGACAGCAGTGGCCTTTCAGCAAAGTCTGAAGAGCCACGAAGAACAGGAGATGCCAGGGCTGGGTGGAGAGAGAGAAGAGAGGACAATGACTTGGCCAAGGGCTCAACACTGCACCCATGCGGGTGCGCCCCCAGACCTGCTGCGGAGGACACAGAGGTCCTCTGGCCATGCTGACAGAGGATCCCGTTGACGGCTACCAGTCTGCTCCTTCAACTACATGACAACTCACACCTGAAGGCAGTGCCTGTGGCTCCCACCAGCCCTCCCTCGTCCTGTCCAACGTTCTTCCACCTTCTCTCCGCATCCTAGTCCCCAGGCCCCACCACAAAAAAGCAGATTCTCTTTCAAAAGTACTTCAACCTGTCAAAGTACCTCTTAAAATGTGACATCCAAAACATGTTCATTGGAGCATCTTTAATAATTATTTACGACAGCCCAAACCAGAAAACAACCTAAGTCTCCGATAACCACAAAAATGAAGAAGCAAGCTGTGCACATCTTTTTAACAAACCGCTGCTCAGTCATGACAGAGTTTTACCAAAACAAGGAGGAATATGTACTATGCCCAGAGTACACTGAGAAAAGGCAGCAAAATTACAAGCATTGAAAAGACAGCTTGCTTAGCATGAAAGGGGCTGGAAGGAAAAACCACAAAATAATTGGGAATTTTTCTTAATTAGTGACTGTTTTTTCTCCTTTTGACATTTCTGTGTTTTCTGTATTTTCTTTAATGAATGTAGAATAATTTAAAGTAGAAATAAATGGACTAGATG